TGTGCTAAGTGATGGCTCTTACACCTTACAGGCCAGGTTACTCTTCAGCTTCTTTTGGCAATAACATTAATATCCGTTTCTGTCTTCTACATATTCAGCAGTTTTCACAAAATGTTTATATCTTTTACACCTTTTTCCTTCTGTCCAGTTTCTTCAGAAAACTGTAGATATTTAAATATTTCCAATTTATATGATTATGCTCCAAAGATTTTTTCCAAAGGTATTCCAAATCAGAAATTCAGTCAAATGAAACAGTCGTCTAAGTACAGTGCTTTAGAAAACTAGATTCTTTTTATTACAAAAATACAAGAGAACAGTCAACTAGTATTGTAACATTTGTGTTTTACCTTGTTTTAGAAAAACTATATAAATTTCATATTTCAAGAAATGTTCCTGAAAGTGGCACAAACAGCAAATATTCTTCACTTGCTCTGCAATATATCAGCAGTTTTAAATAGGCTTTTTCTTTTTCCACTGCAGTACATTAGCTGTTTACTGGATATTCAGGATATATCATAAATCTCCCTTTCAGATCAAGAAAGAGGGGAAGTGATGTGCATAGGTGATGTAACTGTTTAGAAGTTCCTAGTAATGTCATTATAGTCTAAAATCCACTACAAATTTTTCTGCACGTTTTCTTATCTTCTAAAGGAAAAGACCCCTTCTTTTCCCCAATATTCAGAGACAGGATTTTGGAGTCTAACCCACGTATTTGCCGCGTCCTTGTACGGTTAGCTCAGCCTCCTAAGCACGGAATGAGTCCTCGCTTTTGCTCCACGGGCTCCCTAACAGCTCCCGACAGCTCAAGGGCTCCGTGCTTCCCGCCCGGGCGGCTGGCCCTTGGGCAGAACCCCGCCTGCCAGAGCCCTGCCCGTGCTGTCTGCGAGTGACCTCTTCAGCCACGGCTGCGTCATTACATTTCAGGAACGTCACGGCGCAGAATCGCACTGACTATTCCAAAGGAACAGCTTTTGAGGTACAGCTACCACATCAGTCCTCTCTTAAAGATCCAGAATGAAGTGGCGACTAACAGTGAAATGCATTTTTAGTGGGAACTTTGGAAAAGTAAGTTTTGTTAGTAATATGCCTTTTTAAAAGTACATTCACAAATGTGTGTGTGCTGTTGCCAGATGAAGAATTATTAATAATTATTAAATTAAACCAATTAGAGGGTGGACCATGAAAGGGTATTAAACTGACCATCAAAGAGCTTTGCAAGAGACTGAGAAGTTGGCATGAAGTGTATTTGCTGTGATTCAGCAATGGTTGTGTTTCTGAACTATTAACATGAGCACAACTATGGGTTTCAAAAAGGGAAATAAACCAAAAGCTACAAATTAATTGATATCGGCAAGATTACTTGAAAGTACACCTGATTTTAAAATCATCTACTATTGTCAGCAGTGTTTCTCATGACTCATTCTGTTCAGCGATTAAGATTTGCCTTCTCATTTAATGATGCTGTAAGAGTCAAGATTCAGAAAAGCAGAGTTTACATTAAAATTTAAAGAACATAAGGATTTTTTCCTACGTTTCTTGTAAACATCCTGATATTAGCAGCCTCTGAAAAGAATACAACAATGATGTAAAAGACCTAAGCAAAAAAGGCTCCCTAGCTTGTGCACAGCTTCCTAGCTCAGGTGGTATTTATGTACGATTCTGGAGTCATATCACTGAAGTAAAGACTGATGTTCTGCCAGATAAAATAAGAGCAACAAGATACTGAAGCATTATAGAATCATAGAATCATAGAATCATAGAATCATAGAATGGTTAGGGTTGGAAGCACCTCAAAGATCATCTAGTTCCAACCCCCCTGCCATGGGCAGGGAAATTACAACAGTGCATCTTTGCTGTTAAAACACTGCAACCTCAATGCTGCTGTTAAATGCATCTAAACTGTGTCTGCTGTATTTTGTAAAAGAAATCAACAGTTTCTACTATTCGGTTCTGAACAGAACTGTACTTGAGTCAATGGCAGGAAATAGAGATTACGAAGTCTGATGGCATCAGTGAGGTTTTTTTGCTGTGTGATGAAAGTAAATGTCTCTTGACCCCGGGCTCTATGCAGTGAATGTTTAGTAATTTTGTTTTCTGTTTTTAGAGATCCTCTATTCCCATGTGCTGCCTATTCTAAGATAATTTTCACCCTACAAAATATATTTTGTAACTCAGTAGGACTGAAATATGCGTTTAAGCATAATAGACTGACAGTGGTAAAAGCAGTCAAGCCAGCAGAAACAGTGTTTGATTGTAGTAAAACAGCATTGTCTACAGATCGACTCTCAGTACCTTAAAAGTCTTATTAATGACCTGATAAATAGTACCGTACAAAAAATACCACTTGTGTCTCTTGCCTTCTTAGCAAGCAACTTTGTAAGAAAGTTTGCTGTTCAAGTCATGGAAGCATGGATGTTTTCAGAATTCAACTAGGAAAACTAAGTTCCTTTGAGGTAATATGTATCATGGTGAATTCTCACCCATGAAAAGGCAGTTTAGGTTTCTTTATTCTAGTGGCATTACCTATAGATATGAGTTGGAAGAGCAACTCTTTCTCTCTGTGCTATCCATTGGCATAGAGATGGGGAATGGGTGGGATTCACCTCACCTATTGCAACAATGAAATAATGAAATGTTTAGTCTGAAGTATTTGGCTTAAGTTCTTGTCCATGTACCAAAAAGGTAAATGACTCCTGGTAGATGTGCTTCTCTCTAGTTACTGCAGATAGAGTCTAGGGTGACTTGTTCAGGTTAAATAGCTAACCTACAGATGGGTAAAATTAGGTGAAAATGTCTTTAGTATTAATTGTTTGATTGTGGTTTGTTTTTTTTTTCCGTAAGTGAGGTTCCTCTGTCTGCTGTTACTATTCTATTTTACAACTCAAAAGTATCAGTAACAGGGCGTTAGCTTTCATATTACCTAACCCAACAACAACAACAAAAGAATTACCAGAAGTTAACAGCTTGTGTTGCCCTAGTGTCCGCATCAGCACCACTGGCAGGCTGCAAATTCTTAGTGAGGGGGAAGGAAGAATCTAAGAGAAGAAACACATGAAGGAGGATTCCCTGGCCGTCTTAATTGTGCAACTTCTTCTACAATTCCCACTTCCTGCTTCACGGAAGTCTGAAGGAGAATGAACCACTAGAAGGCTTTCGCACCCGTACTGTGATTCTTGTCCTTTTTCCCAGCAGATATTAAAAAAAAATACTATACTAAACAACCATGAATGACATGCCATGGTTTCCATATTGCTTGATGGGCATTACAATGATATTTCAGGGGTAAGCTTCCTGATCTGTTGGCAATGCTCATGACATCTCCTTTGTTTAGCATACTTAGATCCACAGCTTGCCTTGGTTTAGAAGATCAGTTGGCTCCAGTTTGTAGGATGATGTAAGCTTGAGTACATAACCAATGTAAAACTTTTTCCCCTTTGTATACAAGAACAACCGAACACACTCGGTTTCTATAAATGATCTTTTGACCCTGTAAAAATGTCGGTATCTCAATATTCAGCTCGTCTGGATACATTGTCACTGAAGACTCAGATACAGATAAAGGCAATGCTGTTGTCTTCGACAGTCACAAAGAAGACTCTCTGGAGATATTTTCTACAAAGTAACTTTTCACCTTGGAATAAAAACATATATAAGCACATAGAGCCAAAACATGACTTTTCAAAGCTGTACTTTTTTTAATCTTGTGGACAAAGATCTAAAATCTTCAAACTGACAGCTCTGTTTATTCCCTCTGCAAACCTGTACCAAAAGGTACAGATTTTAAAAATATGTTGGAGATCGATTTCAAAGGAGAAATTTAATTATGGTATGTATGAAGACACTGTTTAGTGATGGATATGAATTCCTAAGCTTGCATAGCCACAAGGCCTACACATGTGACTGTCTGCAAGCAATAGGAGGTAGCTTAATCCAAAATATTAGCAATTTCAAAGTGTTGAAAGACTTCACAACAAAAGATAAGAAGAAATTTAAAGCACCGCAAGTGTTTCAGGAAAGTGACTGCTATGCTCCTTTAAGGAAATGTTGAGAAGTTTAAAAGAATTACGTAGTCTTCAGATGTAACTAAACAACCTTACAGGAAGTTCTGAATGGGAAACTATAAATTCTACCCTGCTCAAACAGGACTTTTTTGGACAAAATTTTCCTTTGAGAACATCAAATAGGCTCAGTTAACTTCAAACCAAAATAGGTTGTGAGGAACTACTAGACTGGAGGTATAATCTACCTCAGTGTATGTTCAGCAATCACACTAGCATTAAGGCTCAGACCTGTGTAGTGGTAAACACTGTGCAGTGCTGGTTGACCTTAATTTCTATTTGCTTTAGAAGGAAAGGAAGACAGTGGAAATTATTATGAGTTATTCATAATAAAAATAAAACAAAACACCTAAACCAAACAAACTTATGCAGCACTTACTTTTATGTTTTATCATTGAACAAAAGCAAATGCACATAAATGTCACTACAAAGTATCAAAAGAAGTTTTGAAATGGGGACCATCTTAATGTCTTCTGGAAATCTGTTACACAAGCGGGTGTTTGGCTAGATCTAGAAAATTTTAGGTTATCTCGTAGTATAGACCCCAACTCCCATCGGTATGGGGCTTGGAGACATTCTAATTAATTGACAGTAAAAACTGCATCAATTGCCTAATACACACTTTTCAGGAGCAAATTGTGAATTCTTTAACCTAGATTATTGAGGTAACAGTCGCATGGAATGTTGTTAGAGTCAGTTCTGTTTCTAATTTTACCACGTGGCTCTTGTATCAAGTAGAACTTCATTTCCCAAGCAGAAACCAATGAAACACTCTAGAGAATGAAAAAGGTCAGAATCTGTTATTCCATGTGCTTACTCACCACTGCATGATCCACTGTTGTTGTGTGACTACTTCTAAGCACTGTGGTACCTGTCCTTAGGTATCTTCCACAATCAGAAGACGATGATACCCAGTGACTTAGTTAAGAGGTATGCACTTACCTGACATCAGGGACTGGGTTGCCAGCAACTCTGCATTCCAGCAATACTTTGTTTCCTTCAGCAACTTCCTGGCTCCGGAGCTTCTGAGTGAATTGAGGTGGTGAAGACTGATTCTCTTCCATGTTGCTGAAGGGGTGGCAAAGGACCATTTCGCTCGGAGTGATGCTCTCTCTTTCAGAAAAGTGTTCTCCGTTCAGATGAACCCCAGGTAATTTTGCCTCAGGCTCAGTCTCTTGATGTGGCTTGTCAAACTCCTGGTTTGCTGAAGTACTTACAGCTAGCTGTTTCTGTTTAGGAGACAGGTATCCACTGTCTGGAGAAGAAGAGTCCCCATCAGGACTTCGGCCTCTTGTCTTTGCTGCCTGTCTAAATATAGATGACAATTCCTCTATGAATGTGGCAGCTTTGTCACACAGCTTATTCCTGAAAGGAACTTCTCCCTGTGATGTTGATTCAGACTTTGGGTTTGTCTTAGGCACACCTGGACCATCTTTCTCCGAATGTTTCAGGCTTCTAATGAAGCTAGGACTAGCAGCAAGCGAAGGTGAGGTGCTTGCTTGCCTCCTGGAAACTGTGACAAAACTACTTGCTGTTTGAGGTGCAGCGGATTGCTGTTTCTGATTCCCTGGGAGAACGTGACTTGCAGCAGATGAAGCCAGACTGCTTGCTTGAGGCCTCAGTATAGCATCTTGCTTGTGCTGTTTGGTACCGCTGAAAGAAGGATTTTCTGAAGTGCTAGAAAGAGAGGTGTTCAAATAATGAGTGAAGTCTGGCCCTGCATTCTGATCCTCTTTCATGGAATTGGCAATGGCTTCTCGAGCTATGTCAAGGCTTTTACATATCTCCTCCTGGGTAAGGAAGGCAGAAAGTTCATTTGAAAATTCCCCATTCTGTATGTCTGACGGAGAATCATAGAAAAAGTCATGGTAGGATGAAGCTTCTGACATATTTTCAGGATATCCCTTGTTGGTGCCTCTCTCTGCACAGAAAGCCTCCTTCCGCATTAAAGAAAGAGGCAATGCCTGACCACAGCTTCTGTCTTGCGTCCTGGAAGACATAAACACAGCTCTTTAACAAAAAAACTTGTCAATAAAAAAACCACTCTTATATCCTGGTTCGTATAAGCTAGACACAAAACTAGGAGAAGAGCAGAACCCAGCAGTGCATTAAATACTTACCGCAAACCTTGGTTTCTATTAAAATGGTCCAGGGCTGCAAATTGTCTAGGTGGAAATGAGAGCACTTAGGACTCATTTTTCTCATGTGTCTTCTTTCAGAACTGTGAAGATATCCTTTGTCTGTACACTGCCTAGTACAAGCTCTGTTCCACTGGACCAGTCTGAGCGATTTATTATTTCGCATCCGATTTGTTATTTCACATAGAATCACAGAATCATTTGGGTTGGAACGGACCTTAAAGATCACCTAGTTCCAACTTCCCTGCCATGGACAGGAACACCTTCAACTAGATCAGGTTGCTCTTACAATCAATGCTATTACACTTCACTTTTTCAGTTTTAGGCTTATGATGATTTGGGGAATATAATTACTTTTCTCTTTCCCATAAAACTGCCTTCCAGATACTAAACCAACAAATTCCAAGAGGAAAACACTGTTCTAGTTGAAACCATTACGAGAATCTACACAAGGATGTTTGGATTAGAAATGCCAAGTTACATTTTCTGATTAATATTGATAACGTTTAATATTATTTTACTTCTTGCATTAACGTTTTTAACTTGTTGCCTTTCAATACAATTTAGTATTGAACCCAGTCAGTTCAGTTCCAACCCCCCTGTCACTGCCAGGGACACCTTCCACTAGACCAAGTTGCTCAAAGCCCCATCCAACCTGGCCTTGAACATCTCTAGGATGGGGCATCCACAACTTGTTTGGGCAATTTTTGAAAATTCTCTTCTTATGATAAGTTCTATGAGATTAATTCTGCATAAGATTTTAAAAAAGATTATATTTTCTCTTAATGATCCAGAGTATTTCTCCACTAATAGATAGGCAGCTTGACAGTCGTAAGATGCACTCGGATGTATTTTACATCAGCTTGTGCAAGCTCCGATTACTTTTAGTCACTTCACCAGGGCTTACCCGGCATGTAGTCATTAACTGACTGACAGATTATTGGAATTCTTGGCCTGGCATATGCATCTCTTGATATGCCTCCTTGTCTTTCCAACGGATTACAACTCAACACATAGAGAGAAGTATAAGGGAACCAAAGCATTTTAAGATTTGATATATGTTTTTATAGAATACAGTGATAGGCTTATTCTTTGCTGGGATTACATCTTTCCCTTTGTCTGTGTGTTTACAGGGCAACACATTTAGCAACCATGCCAATCTCTTGTCAACAAAATCTAAAATAGTATATACAGAATAACTGACTACTGCATAGCAGCTTTAAAGAATGAATCTAAGAAGCCAGGCAAACAGTTGATCTAGAGACTCAGCTGTTAATGGCATAAACTGGATGAACGCCAGGGAACCAAGGGTTAAACCTGGGGAGTTTCTGCCTCCTTAATCTTAGTTATTTTTTAAATCTCTGTACTCAAATGAACAAAAAAGGTGCGAGTTCACTACTTAGATAACTCATAAATACCAGTGCTTCACATGATTATTTAAATCTGATTCGTACTGGTTCATAGCTTGCCCACATCTCAAAGCAATCCGTTACATACTCAGATAAACTTTTATGACTTCCAACGCCAAGCTGCTCTGCTGTTTCAAAGGGTTATGGGTCAGAGGACAATTTCAGCTATTGCTAGCCACTTGACACTATGATTAAAATGAATGTATTATGAATCAGCATACCTTCTCCTAATATTCAGTTTTATGCTGTTTTGTCACTCATTAGAAAAAAAAAAAAAAGACTACATATGTCATAATTTACAAATGGAGGTAAATCAATCTGTAGCTGGGTATTCAGATAAAGTCAATGAATTTAAACAAGTGGTGGTTACTGGCAGTTTCTAATGCTGATAAGCCTTCTTGGTGAGAAAGGTCTGGTGCTTAAAAATGGATTTATATGTCTAGCTTTAAAGAGCTGAATGGAAGTTTCCAGTATAGAGACCTTTTTTCAGCCACACTGTAATACATAAAACCACTGTTCTTTTAGAGCAACTTGTAACCACAGCAAACTGGAGGTGAAGTATCGCTAACCCTATCAAGTGGCATAGGAGATCGTAATTAGAAATTTTGAATGCTATTTCTAGCTTCTCCAAGTTAGACTACAATGTATTTATAACAGTTTTCATCATCATTACTCATTAGGTAACCTGCAAAGCCATATACTATATCATTTAAAGACACAAACATAAAATACAATGTTGCATGCAGATCAGTGTTCAGCTATACTTCCAGCATTATCACGTTTAAACTACTTATGGGGTCGTATTTGCTACACATTTAAAAATTACTCAGAAATAAACACACATTTTAATATCACGCTGTTTAAATATTTCTCCAAAATTAACGTAGATGCTTTAAGGAATAATATGGTAAATAGTAAATTCAAAAGAATGTCAGAAAACATTTAAATAACTAATCAAATCAAGGTATTCAAGAGATACATAATGAAACACGGAAAACCAGAGAAAATCAAAGGACTCATTTCAAGACAAGTATAAGCATCCTGACTTTGCAGAACCTGTTGAATGAAAAATCATTACTTAAAAAAATATGACCCCAAGCAAATCTGTTCAAAGGAATAATATGAAGGAAGAAATGTATCTAGTAAGATTTTTTAAAACAAAGAAGGCACATATTTTCCCTCTGAATTTTGAAACCCTGCAAAACTACTCCCTAAAGTACAACAAATTAAATTTAGCAGAAAATATAAAACAGACCTTACAATGAACAGGCCAATATGAAGAGTCTCAAGTATAATTAATTGCAAGTAAAGTTGCTTTTTTCCCCTCTTTATCTAAGCAGGCTTAAAGTTGCTCCAGCTATTCACTAAAGATTGCTTGGTCCTCAGTAAGCATTGAGAAGACTGTGGCCCGTGCGTTACATCTGTCCTCTGTATGTAATTCTTACCCCACTCATCTATATTTGGTAACTGAACTCATGTTTCAGCAGACTGCTGCTATCTGGAATTCCAGCAGAAGCAACGTTAGGTCTGGAAGTGGCACAAAGTTCTGTGCACTTATGACTCAGAAATTAAGAGAACTTAATAATTTAAATGAACAATTTTTACTGTGTTTAAAATATTATTCCAGAATTTTAGGATGTGATTTTTCTCATTATTAAAGGGCCTGCCTCCACAGGTCATAGAAAACACAGTGTGTGAAAGTTAATTTTTGAAAAATAATTTATTTCTACTGCATTTTGTCTTAATAGATTCTTCATTATTTTAACAATAAAAATATGACAATAAATAAAATAATTGGCTTTTTCTACTAAAAGTAGTTTAAAAATAATAGCTTCCTTGTGCACCTTAAAATCTTCCAGGAAAAGAAAAAAAAAAAACATAGAAACATAGAAGTTGGAAAAGACCCGTAACATTTTTAGTTACCATCAGAAATGGTACATCTTTTTGTAATAATAGATAATTATTAATCTGTAATCATATACTACACTGTATAAATAAACTTACCTATTGAATTTTCACATCTCAAATGAAGTAATTCTGTCATCAGAAAAGAAGTATCTCCCTCAGAAATGACACACCAAATCCCTGGAAAACATGTACGCTTTAAAAAGACCCCACAACTCTGACACATGTATTAACACTGAAACAATCAAAACGCCTTTCTGGTTTCTATAACCTCGTCGAGTTTAATGAGTAACACAGTCAACTCTCCCTTACTGTCTTTTCTAAGTACTTTCACCTCATCAAGAACTCCTGTGAGAGTTTTGTCTCAGGAAAGAAAAATCTCCTGTCCAAGAGCACACTTGAGTCTTTTCAGGCACATCATTTCCTTTGACAGTCAGTGAAAGGAAGAAGTAAACACGAAGACTGATGGTTTAATCTACAGACTTTGTCACATAATTTCGAGAAATAAAAGCAATCTGTGTGTAGGACTGTTTCTGCCAGATCGCAGCCCAGATTGGGAGAAGTCAAATTCTCTAGAGTAGATGGGAGTAACTGTAGCTCCAAATAGATTATGTAGACCTCCGTCCCTTCTGCCAGCATCCATTATATCTGATCTCTGATTTAGACAAATCTTGTGGGCTGGCACTTGTTCAAGGTTTTCTAGACATTGCCTTGTATTTTTTACCAAAGTTTATTCCTTGGCAGTAATGGAAGTGCAGTGGACCCACTGTTCTGACAGAAGTGCACAAAAGACTCATAGCTCCCTGCTGGACCATCTTTATGTGTTACCAAGTGCTGGTATCACACATTTTATTTCAATGGTTAATACAGTATCTTTCTTTGCATCTTCATGCAAGCAATTACTGTCCCCTAATCAGAGCTTCAATAGATTCACTGTTGGATTAGGAATACTTGCTTACTTCACAATGTATACAAACCTTATTCTTATGACTTGGGACCCTTACCATGTTATAATGAAATTCATAAAAAGGATCTTATTTCAGGTCATTTTACAGTAATTTCAGTGTGTCAAATAAGAACAGAACAGTCATTCTAAAAATACCAGGATAAAAATTGTACACAAAAAGGAGTTGGTCGTATAAGAGTTAACCACTGTACGCCTAATTTTTAAGCAGTCACCCCACAGAGTGGAATACAGTCCCTACGTCTGCCACTGGCCTCTCCACTAAATGCATAAGAGTTGGGCACCTTGGAATGGGAGCCAAAAATAGCCTGCATATAAACCTGGCCAGCAGGTCGAGGGAAGTGATTCTGCCCCTCTACTCAGCTCTTGTGAGACTCCACCTGGAATACTGTGTTCAGCTCTGGAGTCCCCAACACAAGAAGGACATGGAGCTACTGGAACGAGTCCAGAGGAGGGCCACGAAGATGATCAGAGGGCTGGAGCACCTCTGCTATCAAGATAGGCTGAGAGAGTTGGGGCTGTTCAGCCTG